CTGCCTACCAAAATTGTCGGGCCGAAAAAAAGCATAAGTATGCTGTGGCTGTATGTTGTAAATTTGGGCTGTTTTGACAATATTTTTTCTTCAAGTACTCAGTCGTGTAGCTATTCTAAAACATTCTAAAATGTTTGACAAGTATTTTCCTTTTCTCCATATTTAATTTTTTTTTACAAAATTTTGACAGCAGAGTCCCTCAGTTTTCCTATTTATTTTTTTGTTTATTTTTTTGTTTGTTGGAACTTGCTTTCACTATGGCCACTCAGTTTCCCAAATTTTTCTTGAACGTTCCAGATGGCGACCTAAGGTCCCAGGTTTGCCATGCAATGCTTTTCAAAAAATTAACCAGTTCTTTTTATTCGACAAGCAAATGTTATATCGCTAAACCACTTCAAGCAGTAGGAAAAAACACTGTCTTTACCATGACATTTGAAGACTACAGCCAATTTACTGTGTGCACTACCCAGGCCATCGAAAACTACTTTGCGTCGTACTTGGGAATCGCACACGCTAGCGATATAAAAAAGGTAGCCCGCCAGTCTCAGATACGCAACCAAATTAGCGAGCTTTTGGAGCTGGCCATTAAGTTATACGAGAGTCCTGCAGATAAGCGCAATGATGCTGAGGATGAGTTTAAAATTTACGCCAAATATTTTATTTACGCTCATCAAGATATCATTTGTATCAATGGGGCTGAAACAAGCTATTTTGGCGGAGGAATTATTTACACTGATATCGCATTAGCGGTCACTATAAAAGCAATCGAGGGAATGCTTGCCACGCTTTCGCTGTTGTCTGTTAAAATTATTGGAAGAGAAGGGGCACCTAAAATCCACATACTTGTCAACAAAATATGCACTGATGTCAATTTTAAGGTATTCTTCAAAAAATTTGACATTTTTTTAAAGATACACTATCCTGCTAAAGTTCCCGAGCCTGCTGGCGCTGTGGAAACTGAATTTGCTACCAAGCTTGGGTGTGGGCCTTGAATCGAATAATGAAGGGGTTAGATCTGACAGCAGCAAAAGCGAGGAGTACGAGTTTTGACTTTTATTTTTATATAGTATATTTACGCCCACAAATTGAAATTAAAAATATTTTTCCTTGTGATAACGCAGCAAATTTAAATACAATACTATATTGCTCAAAGTGTTGTAATTTGTGTGGGGCACTACTTGCCCAGTGTTAAAGGTGGAGTATTGATTTTTGAAGGTTTTTATTATCAATGGAATCAAAAGTAGAACTAGGGCCGGCCTCATCTTATATATGTATCTCATTTCCTTTATTGTGCACTTCACCAATTGTGCACTCCGTTGGTGAGAACTAGTTTTTCTGTAGACAGACTGGTGTCTTGGTATGTCAAGGCTATGCTCTTTGCATATGTATGTTCAAGCATATGCATTCTGGAAAGGAGAGGTATATCGTGGTGCCCAACACACATTTCAAGCCACTATCTTCCCTTTTCAAGAATCAAGATTGCCCTCATGGCCACTATACACATTTCTGTTATTGCTGGCTGACATCAAGGAACACCATGATGTTTACAGCGCTGCCCCCTTTTTCAGTTCCAAAAAAAAGTAATTTTTAAGACTTGAATATATCGATTTAGACTCACATTTTTATAGAGCACGACACTACATGGTACCATCTATGCCCTATCAATCGGCATGTTGATGGAAACTTGGTTCACAACGCTCAACCTTGACATCCACTTTCACATTATTAGTCTGTTCAACAAAAGGCATTGTATTTTATTTTGGGCGAATTGATATTATATAATATTGAATTATTATAAAATGATAAGGTCTGCGGTCTCTGTTCATATTCAAACATGTTTCTTATTTTACTCTATTGTTGCAATATGTATATTCTATAATAATGAATATAAAATAATATACTACTATGTATTAAATAAGATGTATTCTATGGGTGATATGCACTGGGGAGGTAAGAGAAAACAACTATATTATATGTGTGTTACTATGTGACTAAAAGGATAAGTAATGTGGTGTAATCATGCCTGGCTGCATTCAGCTCTGGTAGATCAACAACAACAACAACAACAATAAACAATGGTTGATCAGTCGACCCAATCAACTAATATTTATTAAGCAACAAAAAGTGTTAGAATGTCATTAAAAAGCAATTTTTATAAAGATGCAGCTAATCCCGCTGAACGAGTCGGAACACGGACTCAATGTTAGGATTATGGAAGATCAGTCTGAGCATGTTGGCGGCTATGTCGCAAAGCATACAGTATCCTTTAGTTTTGGGGTTGATGGAAGTTCACATAGGCATAGCTGAGCAGCCACTCATTTCTAGATTTCCTAATATTCCTTGCAACATTGGAAATAAAACAAAAGCAACATAGTTGATTAGCTTAAGCGCATTAAATTGACATTTAAGAATAATATATTAACTTGTGAATAAACATTTACAATAAATAAAATACAAAATACAAAAATTGTTTGTTTTACCCTAAATTTTACGCAATCGTTTTTATAAAAAAAAGTACAAAGTATTTAATTAGCATTAAAAATTCGATACCAAAAACTAAACCTTAAAAAAGGAAACTACCGTATGGATTCATGAAATCCGTTTGAATGAATGTTTGGAATATGTGAATCGCCAGATTACGTAGCAAAATATATCCACTGCGCTTGTGATCATCCCAATTTACATATGCGAAATGATCAAGTATATCAGCAGTAAATACATCAAAAGAACTAAGCTGGGCAGTCTTGCTTAAACTCATTGGCAGGCGATCTCCACAAATCCATACTAAAATAGGAAAATGGCCTGTGCTAATGTTGCTCTCGTGTCGGATCCAGGATATTTCAATCTGGTCCTCCTGGTTAACACCAAAAGTTGCAAGCCAGCATACGACATAAAGCAATGACTCGTATGTTTCTTTTACGCAGCGTGGTGTTGTTTTCTGAAGAATAGTCGAGACAGTCGCAAACGCAAGCATCTCGTCTCGTATTAGCTTTAATTGCGGCAGGGTCTGGTCCACATTGGGAATTTCGCAGTCCAAAAGCATGCTCTGCACAGTACCCGATTCTTGGTCGCGGACAATCCAAATAGTCTCGATCGTAATTTTGTAGATTGCGCGGTCACACAACCTGGAGATCTCATGTATTGTCACTAGGGCATGGGTCAGTACGCAGTACAGCTCAGTCGCTGACCCGATCAAACTCAGGGGCTCGGCATACGGGGTGATAGCAGTCAAAACAAGTTGCCTTCTAGTTATCGGAAACCTTACCAACCCAAACGCGCTGACAAATGGAGATTCCTCAGCTGTGTATAGATGGTCAGCACTGATATCGCGAGTAACACCATTCAGAGTGGCAGCTGCTGGGCTGCCAGCCAGCACCCAAGGCAAAACAATATTAAACCCTGCGTTTTTCAACAAGGGTGCCAACACCCGGCTAATGCGGCACAAGTCATACAGCTCCTTGGAAACCCAAGGAGTTCCTGGCTCATCAACTGCTTGCATCCAAGAGACCTTGACAATCAGCGACGGAGAGTTTATGCTTGCCAGCGACTCTGCAGCCGGAAAAACGCGAACCTGATCGAGTATGGCGGTTTCACGGTGCAAGCTCGGATCACGCGAATAAAACGTGTGCTCGCCCGATGTGCGCTGTCCATCCACAGTAATCCGACCAACACGAATCTCCCAATGCTTACCATAAACCGTGCTGGCTCTGGGCATGATGTTTGGGATATACCCGCGCATCTCGTCTCCGCAAATAGTAAGAGAGTTTACAACCATCGACAAGCAGTAATAGTCATACTCGTTAAAAATATTGAGTATCCTCGTTACAAACAGCCCAAAGATACCCACATGGCATACCTGCACGAGAAATCCACAAGAAACAAAGCCCCAGACACCCAACCGGTTAGGCTGATGCCGATAGATACAGTGGCAGCTCATGAGGACTCTACAGACAGCAAAGTTAAGTCGAAGCCTATGGAAATAAATTTCTGCATCTCCGAGAGGCTCGGGCGGAATTCTCTCGAGCATATCAACGGGTGCAAATATTGCACTATAGAACGGCGGATCAGGAATGTTCCTGAGACCATGCTCCAGTGGCCTAAGCCCCAGCGTGCGGTCTACCATAAATTTCGGGTCTCTGACAGGATACTCGAGCATGTGTTGCGCGTAGAAAAAAAGAAATTTCTTGGTGTGATCATTGTAGGATGGAAGATGGGCAAAGTCCATGTGTAATTTTGCCTGAAACATTAAAAAATTGTGTAGATTAAGCATGGTAACTGAGAAAAACAATGAGATATTTTTGATAAACAAAGTTGAATGTTTAAGAAAAAAAACCAAATGTCAGAATTTCTGCTAAACGTGGGAATTGCTGATTATTTAAACATTTGTTAATGACTATATTATTATAAATTAGCGGTAATGCAATGCAACATCTGTAACACATAAGAATTTGAATTAATTTATCAAGCTTTTGGATTTAATAAAAAACAAAAACAAAACAAAAGCATTTTAAATCAAGTTTCTCATAATGGAGCAATGCCTTGTGAACCCCACCAGTCATTCTGCAAAGGCAGTCATACTCTCTGCTCTTATGATACATCTTCCATTTGACATACGCAAAATGATCAATAGCATTTCAAGTGGAGTTCTCCACAGTCTCCAGCTGCGCCGCCTTAGCCTCTGCGATCCGCTCAAACCCCCCTCCCCCCGTAACCCACTTCAAAATAGGCAGCTCTCCCGCATTGATTTTCTTCTTGCAGCGAATTTTTGAAACCTCAATCTGTTTCTTCCGGATCAACGCCAAAGATAGCAAAGCCAGAAAAAAGCGTACAACAGAGACTCGTACACATTCAAGATACCCCTTGGCAACGGATCTCTGACCAAATCCAAAGCACACGCAAATGTGAGCATTCCATTACGCAGCAGGATTGAGCGTGGCAAAACTTGATTTACGTTGGCGATACTTGCAGTCGAGAAGCATGCTCCACTCAATACATTGCGTTTCATCGTGGAAAACCCAGATACTTATTTTTGGTTGTAATTCTGTACACTGCGCGGCTGCATATTTTGGAGACATTAAATATGGTTGTCAGCGCATGGGTCATGACGCAGAACAGCTCCTCGGCGGATTTCACAGAGCTCGGTAGCTCAGCGTACGGGCTGAGGATGGCAACAGGTAATTTGTGCCTGTTTGGCACCAGGGGGAATTGGCTGCGCCAAAGGCTGTGAATATTGGGTTAGCCACATTACTATCCTTGTAAATCCAATCGGTAGTGATTTCAATGACATTGCCCGCAATGTCGGTAGTCGTCAGACCGCTGGCCAGCATGTGAGGCAGCACATCGTCATATTGCGTATTCACTAGCAATGGCAACAGGGTGTAGTAGATTTGAAATAAGTTGTACGGTGCCTTGGGAGGCTGCCAACAATATTTCATACCAATTGCGTCTACCCACAAAGCCAGAACAAGAAGCGACGGCCGGGCTATGGCCACCAGGGACTCTGCCGTTGGGAACACACAAAACATGGCTGCTATTAGCAATCCCAGGCTTCACACTTGGACCGCACGAGTAAAGCACGCGCTGCACTCGACTTGCGATACCTGGCCCTAGTAATCCAGCCGACGCGGATCTCCCAAAACGCGCCATGTGTGCGGCTAGTCTTGGGCAAAATATCCGAAATCAGCCCACGCTGGGGTTTCTCTGTTTCATTTGCCAGCACAAAAATCACCGATCCAAGACTAGCCACGTTATTCTTCGTGTTGCACAATCAAACACCCTCGACAGGATTATTTTACCAGAGCCCACAAAGCAAACAAGAATAGATAGACCAAGGGAGGCAATGCCCCTCCCCTCCCCAGACGCTGGTGCGGTTGTGCTGGTGGCGGAATATGCACTGGCACCTGAGCAGAAACTTTGACAGCGTCCTGGATACCCAATCATTTGCAAGCGCCAGCTGTTTGGTGTCGGACAACTCAACAGGGTGCCATAATCTCGGCGTAGAGCGGCGGGTTCGGGTCCGGGGCGGTGATTGTCCTTGAAACCGTGGCTCGATGGTTTAATGCCCAGTGCGCAGTTGCAGACGAATGTCGGATCTCTGACATAGAGATGTGTTTGTTGGCGGAAAAGCTGAGCTTGAGCTTGGGCTCAGGCTCTGACATTGAATTGTGAGTAAAGGTGAATCATGTGTTTGGAGTAGTTGGAGCTATTTAATATGTTGCTGATGGATATGTATGAGTTTGCCATGGTCTCGAGCAGGGAGGGCAGATCCTTGTAACCCTCTTTTGTCGGCATGTTCATATCAGCCATGTAATTGTTTTGGTCCACTATTATATTTTTTGAATAATATATAGAGAAATGGAAATGAAAGCAAAATAAATAATAATAATAATAATAGATGGAGACTGGCATTTATTGAAACTCTCATATTTATACGCTACATTTTTTCAATATTGAGTTACAATATTTCCAATCCTTCCCTCAAAAAAAATAAACTTTGCCAATTCCCTTGCCCTCCACATCATTATTATTGTTATTGTTATTGTTATTATCCAATGGGGGGGAGCTGTCCCTATACTGGATTCCCTAAGTGTAAAAGGGTTGGTCATTTCTTGGCGGGTCTGCATTTGTCGAGTGAGTTTTTTTTTTTGCTTTGGCTGTTGCTGTGGCAGACAAGTTGTGTTTGGTTATTAGGTAGAGTTTGATTGCCAGGGCTTTCTCTCTTTCTCTCTCTTTCTCTTGATGGTGAACTGTGAGCCTTCGAGGTCGGTTTCGCTGAGTGGGTCGGTTCTTGATCGATCGATCGATGTGGCTTGTGGGTGGGTAGAACTTGGGCCAGAAAGTGCCGCTGCAGTGGTAAAGCCAGCGCCTTGCAGGAGGTATCGCGGCGTTCAGCAAGTCCTTGGCTATACGCAGCATGTAATTGGAGTAAATGACTGCCATAGTTTTTTCTTCTTCTGTTATTGCTTTTTGCACTTGCAACATATAACAAATAAATACCTTTCAAATTTAAAAGAAGAAAAAAACAAAGATGGGAATAAACAGTAGTGATTGGTTGGCTGGTTGGTTGGTTGTTGGTGATACGTGGTGCCCCCCCCCCCTCTTGGTGGTCTTGACAGCAAACAAATTGGACTCCCTAATTACAATTAAAATTACAATCAACGAAAAAGAAGATCTAAAAGTGGAAGAGTATCTTTACTCAAAATCCATGACCTCAAAGTAAGTGACATCATTGCGATTAACAGCTGCCACGCACCTACGCTTATCAAACCGCACCTGCCAAACACTCGTCAGATTCGCCAACAAGTCGCGCACAAAGGCGCCCGTCCTCACATCCCACAGCTTCAAAGTCGTATCCGCACCCGAGACAATCTTTGTTCCATCATGCTGGAAGCACGTAATCGCACTCGTGTGTTGTCTCAGTACACTGCGCTCATTGCGCACCATGTCGCCTGCTGCCAAAGTAGATGAGATGTCCAGCAGCTGTTGGTGATGCAGCTGGTCATTGGCACGCTGCTGGAGCTGGAGCTGCTGGAGCAGCTGCGCCTGCTGTAGGCTGGCCACGGTCTGCGTCACCAAGTGGCCTGTGGCATTGGTGTTGGCGTTGGCGTTGCCGCTGGCTGTGCTGCCGCTGCCAGCCGGGGTCACCGGAATAAGGTCGCCGCGAATGTTGCTGAACGGGCGCTGGAACGACTTTGGCTGCGGACGGGCGACTGTCGGGTGGTCCCAGATGCGCAGCGTCGTATCGGCGCCAGCAGACACCAGCGTATCGTGCTGCAGCGCCAGCAGCCCGACAAGCGTCAAATGGCCGCGCAAAATACGCAGGCACGCGCCCGAGTCCCAGTTCCACACACGGATGGTTCCGTCCATGCTGCCGGACAAAATCAAATGGCGCTCGGTATCCAGCACAATGGTGTACACCTTCGACGTATGGCCCTCGAGCTGGTGCAGCTGGGCGCCGGTGGCCAGGTTCCACACGCGGATCGAAAAGTCGTACGACCCGCTGACCACCATGTTGCCGTGGCCGGCCACGGCGCGCACCGAGTCCGTGTGCCCGCCGAGGGTCCGCACAAAGTATGGGTTGGCGCGGGGCACGCCGAATGGCGAGCGGAAGCGCATTGCCGCGTCGCCGATGCTCGGCATGGCTATCGACTCAGCCACCCGAACAGCCTCGGCCGCCCGCGCCGCACGCAGCGCCGCCGCCTGCGCAGCCGCAGCTGCTTGTGCGGCCGCCGCGGCGCGCGTAGTTGGCCGGCTGGGGCCAAGCCTAGCAGCAGACGCGAAGGCAGAGGCGGAGGCGGAGGCAGAGGCAGAGGCGGAGGCGGAGGCGGAGGTGGAGGCAGAGGCAGAGGCAGAGGCGGAGGCGGAGGTGGAGGCAGAGGCAGAAGCAACGGCAGAAACAGAAGCAGCACCAGCACCAGCACCAGCACCAGCACCAGCACCAGCACCAGCACCAGC